GTGCCCGCTGCGTTGAATTCAAAACTAGCCTCGAGCGTGATTGACAACGTTGAGTCATTACACTTAGACTACTATTCTGGTGCGTCTTTCATTACACTGTCTTAGACAACTAGTCTAGTTCGTCCTCAAGGCACAAGTGTTCTAATATAAATCATGATAGCGCTTCCGAAGCGATCTTAAAATCCTCGAGACATCGAATAGCAATTAAAAAATCTATTTATAATCTGGTAAAAACAAAAAAATCATATTTCCATAACCATTTTTCTGCGATTTTCTTAAAGAAAATTATGAAAAAATGTAGTAAGATGTGCATGATTTTCGATGTCGCACAAAAACGTGTGTTTTTCAATATTCTATTATAAAATCAACGTCATGAATCCTTATTCTTATACATAAGCTTTATTTGTTAAGTTATACTTGAGTATTCTGGAGATAGTGATTTATGACTTGATTCTTTGAGAAATTATTGATCTTTGTTCTTGTGCATGTGACGTCATTGCCGCCATGTTGTGAGTTCAGTCACGTTTCAATATGACTGTTCTTCCAAGATTCAAAAACCTTTTTCGTCTGCTAGAAGCATTGACTGAAAAAAGCTAAATTTATTCATTGTTTCTGGATTTTCCATCGGAGCCACATACGAGGGAGAGGTGGAAAGGGAGAGTTAGTGTTCGCCCATATAGTTCAGTTCCATGGCATCAGTTCAACGGTAAATCAGTTTCAAAAATTGAGATCGGTAGAGGGGCAAATTTATATGATGGGGCAAATTTAAGGAAGTTGGACGAAAATCGAATGGGAGGGAGGGGTTGTAAGGGAGACTGAGCGGTTCAGTGCCTTACCGCTACCATCATGTCATTCATCCGTTTAAACAGCAAATCAGGCTCAAAAATTGAAATCACAGAAAAAAAGGAAAATAGTGAAAGATTGAATGAAACTAGACAAATTGGGGAACATATTCAAATGAGGCAGAGCATATTGCTGGTTTTCAATCATTCCCAAGAGAATGAAATAACAAAAGACATAGCCGCCATTTTGAATGATATGACCAAAGAATTCATTGACAAGTCTTTTGTTCAACTGATCTAAGATGGCGGCTATGACGCTGTGCAACTGGCAATAAAAATGTTTAATTTTCCTAGTCTTTATTTTTTTTATTCATGTTTACTAGCTTGCTTTGTTTTCTTTTGTTGTTTTTTCCCCTTTGTTGACAATAACCTGCTAAAACAAATCTTGATCCCGTTTATTTTATGACAATAAGAAATACACTGTAATTTAGGAATATTTTCTAATAATGTTTTGCTTGTGATGTTGATAAAAAAGCGGCATTCTAAAATCGGTTTGTTTGTTTGTCAGGTTTTAATATGAACCCGAATATTTGTCCGAGGTTTATTGATCTCTTGAAATACTTGCTAAAACACGCTAACTACAAGAACTGCAATAAAGAAAAGGAAAATTTGCGACCTATAATAAAGGATTTATCTAAACGTTCAGTTCAAAACATTATCAATAGTGGGGAGTTTTTTTTTTTTAAATACTAACTAATACATTTATCTAGAAAAAAAGAAATGCCACACTATTTATTGAGGATTCATGTTATATTATCAAAAGGTTTTCAGAACACTTGACCTATATCTTGGGAATGCTTTTGTTTAGTAGCTACTACGCTAACGAATTGGCGTTCTACGGTTAAAACATAGATACAGTATCTATAGAGGTTATCATTCGGCTAAACATCTGATACGGCTCAGTGTATTTTTAAGCGGAGTCACTGTTGGCGAGCCTTTAGATGCAGTATCTAAGGATTTATCAAATGGTTTTCAGAGCGAGAATTATACTGGTTATAAACTGATAAAGAAAACATATAGATGATTTGCAATTATTCGCACCGAGGTTGAAATAACATGAACTGACAATGGCGGCCATATTGGTTGATATAACTGAAAATAACGACTGGAATTAAATCAAATTAGAATTAAAGGAATGTTAAGCTCAACCAGAAACAACCATTAAGCCAGAAAAAGGAAGTCAGGCTAATTTTTATTCATTTCCTATCTAAGTAGATAATAATATTTTTTCCTACTTTAAAACTTTTATCCTGAAAAAATAATGTGATTACCATAAGTTAACATGTTAGCGTGCTTGACGCACATCTTACCTACTTACGCAACACCTTAATTTATGAAAATATTTCGAGAATATGGTCCATAAACAACATCCAAAAGCTCTATAGAATACTGAAAGAAACAAAGACAGCTATTCTGTTGAAGAGTTTTGAGTGTCTTCCGTTTCCCGCCCTTCGCGGAAATCAACAATTTTAAAGCTTAGTTCATCCATGGTGCATAATTCGAGAGAGAGAAAGATTCGTCCGGTACATTACAACAATATAACTTGTTTTTTTCCCTTCTCTCTTTTGAAAAACAAAGTCTAAAAAAGTCACTCTGTTGCCTTGGGCGTATTTTCCTATTTTAAAACACGTATTGTTCCCTTCACAATGAGTATAACTTTTTCGTTCACTGGTAAAACTAACATGGTAAAAAGATTTCTCCCTCTCTCTCTCTCTCTCTCTCTCTCTCTCTGTTTCTCTCTGTTTCTCTCTGTTTCTCTCTGTTTCTCTCTAGTCTGTTTCGAATGTTGCTTGGACGTAGTGTCTCCCCATTCCAAATCGCATATCATTCCCTTGAGTATTATTTTCTTGTTCGATAAAACATTAACGAGGTTATGTGGAAGGAGCACAGAAAAATGATCAAGAAGTTTGGTGGAATGGGAAAATATTACACCCAAAGTAAAATACTGCATGCATTTACATTTATTTTTTTCGTTTCGATTTATAGCCGTGAATCAATGATGTATAACTCGTCATTTGAACCGGATCATATTGTTTTGTAAACAACTTAAGTTCTAAGCTCTAGTAGACACCAAACAAAGAGGTAGACCTAGCAGTACGGGTCACTCTAACTTTGCGCAAACAGGGCACTTTGGGCCAAGCTTTCAATTCTACACTGACGACTGATTTAAGATAAATACGTTGAATCACATCAATTTTAGTTTTTATTTCCGAGACAATTAACAAGTTCAAAAACGAGGAAGTATGCAAAGATCAAATCAGTGACGCAATTACTACGTGATTTTTCATCTTTTTATTACGCCACGTTATGTCGTTTTACCATCAAACAGCCAGCCACGTAATATTAGCTACAATGGACCAGAGTTTTACTTCTTTCCAAAGGAAATTAACTTTATAGATCAGATCAACCTTAAGGGGCAGAAAGAGAGAGAGCCGTTTTGGTGCAATATTGATTCATTTGACGCACCGATAAGATCCACAAAAACCTTTCAAAAAGATAAAATCAATACTTGGTTTAATGCACTTGAGTGTAACGTAGTACAAAAACTCTAGATCTTTCATAAAACAGTACAAATATAATTCTTTCTCAAAGGCGCCCGACCCGACGAGATATTGAGCTTCAAAATAAACTGAAACTTAACTCTAGTAATCAGCGTATCAACCTTACGATATTGCTGAGTATTTGTTACTTTCTCATTATTTTCTAACTAATTTTACTAGAAGGTTATTATCTTTCTACTGGTTTCTACGGAGATTTAAAAGTTGTCTTGGATGATTTAGCACATCCTTTAAAATAAATTCGAGCAACGTTTATATTTATTATCTAAGTGTGACGTACAAAGCCGCAGCTGTGCTAACGAAAGTAATATTACATTTTCGTACGAAGGAATATCTTCATTTTTCAAGTAATGTTTCCTTCATTAATTCTTTTGTTTTTTGACTTCAATTTTTGCACGCAAACATTTTTTATAAATTTCATATTATTTTCCTGTTTTTGACAGGAAATTTGAGAGAATATTTTGTGTTTTATTTTTTTCTTTTCTTCGCCGGCTTTGTTTACTTTTATATCAAGCATGACAAGAGTCTATTTTTTATCCTTTCTCAAATTTTCTTTTATTTACGTTAAGAAGTAGGAAAAAAGAAGAATATTTATCATAGGACAAAGGAAATAAAACAAAAAAAAGTCACGTTACGTACTTAATTTTAGGGCTTGTTCAGTTAGGGGTTCATTAGTACTTCCATGCACTCCGAAAGTCGAGAAACTAGTAGTGTAAATCCTTGATTTTTTCGAGTACTTTTAACATTGTATTTCCTTTCCTCAAGCTTCTTATTTACACAAAATGTCGATTTTTTTTGTGGATTCAGATATCTTATCCATGGTGGCGGATTTTTATCATTTTGGTTTTCGACGTACTTTTTCCTCGCTATCCATTGACGACTTTTGAAACTCCAGTGTGTGCGGATTTTGCCTTGAATCCAGGAGTTGCCTGTTCGTTTATTCTGACTTCTGCTTTTGTTTTCCGATCTCAGAAGCTAAGCCCGCACACGCTGGAGTTTTTAGAGTGGTCAATAGGCCGGCAAAACAAAGATCTCAGTCATCTTTCTAGAAGCCATATATTTACACTGTGAACTAAGAGCGTCCCCTTCAGGCGACAACATGCGTTATTTTCATAAGAGAGAAAACTAATGAGACTAAAATAAAATAAAGAAGTCGTATTTATTAGTTTAGCCAAGCCATCTGGTTTTAGGCGAGAAACTAGATTGAAATTAGTTTGCCTGCTTGTCTAGGTTAATATTTTGACCCTTGAAACTACCATTGTGAGGCCGCTGAGGATTATGGGTAAATATCGATGAAAATTTTGGCTGATCTGAGTCAGGGCACGACTAACTCTCAGATCAAACCCTGAAACAACCTCTGAGATGATCTAAGTCAGGCACGACTATCTCACAGATCGAATTGGAATTTAACTTGTACTAAGATTTACAAATAGTTGTCCTCAGATTTGACGGTTTGTTGGTCGGAGTTTTTTTGTACGTTAATTCCCTCCCTTACTTGCTGTTTTCACTCTTGAAGTCATCACTAAATGTGTTTTCGAGTGTGTCATACTCTTTCAATCCTAATTCTCTGCATCTCTGCCTTTTCAATACACACATAAACCACATCATACAATTATTTTATTACATGATTCTATTTAATTGTACAATTAACTGTTACTCTCAAATTCAACCCCTTCATGATCTAAAAACCAGTTTTCCAGTTTTCATTTCCTCTTGTTGTAGTTGAGTCGTATTTTTTCTCACTGCAAAATTAATATCGCGTCACCATAATACGGTGAAAAAATATATTTGAATAATCTATGTACATAAGAGAACTCGCACATACGAGCAAAGACAGATTTTTAATGTCACGTCAGGCTAAATGGAACGTTCATTCTCTGCGTCAAATAAATCCCCCCAAAAAAACCGTCGCTGTTAAATATCGGCCTGATGGTGTTCTTGATGTATCTGTTGTCTCTTTTAACTATTAATTGATATATTAAGTGTGAGCTTCTGAACACCTTGCGTATTAATCACTCTTTAATAAGTTTTTTTTTCGACACAAAAAAAGCAATCCTTTCTTCGCTATTTTGCAGCTGTACCGGTCTCTCAAAAACACACAAAATCCGCAGTTAAAATGCTTTATACTTTGTTTACCAGTTATAAGTTTATGGTATAACTCTTAGAATTAATAAAACAATAGTAATAATAATTAAAGCTTTAGCAAGTTTTATCAAACAGTAAAGAAGTTCATGTAACAGGAAAAGATTTTCAATATTGCTTTGCGAAAAAGTCCCCCGAGTTTTGTTTCGTTTACAAACTCTCATTTGTCAAAGTCATGACCTTATATATATTTCTTTTTTTTTCACTAAGCCAGCAAAATAAAGCTGATATTTATTCTCTGCGTTAGCTTTAATTTGTTATTTAAACTTATACCACTAAAATACTTTCTCGATAAATCGTTTTAAATTGGAAATGAATATAATATCGCCGCTAGCTGTTGCTGATCTGCTCACCACACGACATAAAATGAATACCATGATTTTCTATCTGTTTATTTCCGAGTCGTATTTTCTATCCTTCGTGCTGTTATTTCTGTATTCGTATTAAAATCTAACTGGTTAATGTTCTCACACTTTACGCATTTGATAATAGCACTTCTTACTTCTTTCCTGAGAAAACCGTATAATAGAGGATTAAAGAGTGCAGTACTGCATGCTAGCGCTGCGCAGACGATTTTCCCGACTTCTAACGCTGGGGTTGGCTTGTACAACGATACACCTGTAGAAACATGTCTTTGCTCATTAATGTGTTCGTAGATTGTTATGATAAAATATGGCAACCAAGTAAAAATAAAGGTTCCTACGAGCAAGCCAATGACTTGTGCAGTTTTCATCTTCTTATAGAAGTTGCGGCGATTGGAATCAGTATTTTGATCCGGAACTGAAGCTCTTATTTGTCTGGCATGTCCTCTGGCTATCAGGTAGATCTTGGCATTTACGAACATCACACAGATAAATGGTACACTGAACACTATCACAAACCGGATCACTTGAAATAGGTATTCATCTTTATTAACCGCGAAGCGAATCATCTCCTGTGTAGTAGAGATGACCCAGATTGATGCTATAACTATTCCCGTCTGTAGACTACTAACCTTGGCTTCATACGTCAAGGGGCTTGTAATCGTAAAGTAGCGATCAAGAGTTACTGCACACAAGTTCAACAACGATGCTACTCCAAGAATTGGGAATAAAGTATCAAGAAAAGGCGACGTCTCTGTCTTCTGATTGTACAGCTCCTTGATCTTCAACGGAACAACAACGGAGGCCATTAGCAAGTCTGCAAAAGCTAGACTTAAGACAAAACAGTTCGTAATAGTTCTGAGTTTTCGCACACGACATATAGTGCCGATAACGCAAGTATTGACTGCTAAACTGAGCACCATAATCGCTGCAAAGTAAACAATAAGAAGAACGTGCGGGCTGGCAGAAGTAGTCGGCTCCCAGGGCTGCACGGGCCCACCAGTGGAACAGTTGTGCGAAGTTAAAACATCATTCAAGTAATCAAAAAAATCAGCTGACGTTTGGTTCGGATCAAGATCCAACTGGCTTACGTTCACTCCACAATCCGTCAACTGTTTCGAAAATTCCAATGTCATCAAAGGATGTACACTGTTTCCACCATTATTGGGAGAAAAAGAAGATGGCGACCGTGGTGGTGTCAGCGACTGGTCTCCCATTTTCATCTAATTGGACGCTTCTTCTTCCTCTTTATATTTCACCGACAGGAGAGCAACTTGTTCTCAAACGCCGACTTCTATATTGAGACATCCATAAAGACCTAATCCCAGTGTTTGAGGGTAAACCTTACAAATTGAAAGAGTCTTCAAATTACGATAAATTGAAGCAAGTAATTGAAAACCAACTGTAATATCAATGAGTACCGCGGTTCTGGATTCTCTCTTGGTCTCTTCAGTTCACCAGGACAACATCGACATCCAACTGCGTTGATATCCGTATGCAAGGTAATCAAAAGGGGTGTCAGCTTTAAAGCCTTTTCTTATTATATTTTAAGGAGTACGTTGCTAGGTTACTGATCTATTGTTGCACCTCAAGACGAGCTGTGATTGGTTGACATGAATGACGTACACGAAAGTGGTAAAATTCTACAAATAGATCGGAACAAAAAAGACTGAAAATGACCTTTAAATTCGCCTGATAAAACACAGAAAGTAGACAATGATTGTCTCACTTGTGAATTAACATAAACTCTGAATAAATGGAACGCTTGGTTTACTTATAAGCTCCCATGGTGTCGCCTATAAACTAGTCGAACAACTCCACATTAAAACAGAAAAAAAATAAGTTGGTCGCAGTCACACTGTAATCAGTTTAATCTAGCTAGAGATATCGATAGTAACGCTTTACAGATATAAAAATAATTAGTTTTCATTAAGACTTATGAATTGCTTTTCTAAAGAAAACGGCCGCCTTTTAGCCGCTGAATTTGGTAGATTTTCCCAATCATTTTGCGTACTACGCGTGGTGGTAGAATTACTTCCCAAATGATGCTATGACTGATTTGAGCTATTACGATGAATAATTAGGGCAGATGGCTCTGTTCTCGAGCTAAAAAGCTGACATGGCTTAAAATACATTAAATCAAAAGAAAACCGTGGAAAAATAGGTTCTAATTTGCAAACTACTATGTCATGGCAATAGCAAAAAATATTTGATTTTTTATTTTATTTCATAATAAGCCTTTATTTCTCCCTCTGTTTTTTTCCCTTAACTAATAAATGTAACTTAAAGTAAAAAATCATTATCATTTTCTTAAACCGTACTTGATTAACTTGCTAACTTACACAGCGAAAGGATTACAAATTATTGTCTTGGCAACTGGTCCACGTTAGATTCTATTCTTATTACAATCAATATTATTTTTGTTCAAGATTATTTATTGCATCGTATTAAAAATTTCGATATTGGACTTTTTCTGTCATGTATTTCAGGAGAAGCACAGATGTTTTGGTTTTTAGTGACTCGTAATTGACACAATTATGGCGAGATACGTTCATAAACAGGAAGAAAGATCCTCGTGGTTGGATCGACCATGCAAATATCATTTCAAGCTATTTCCCCCTTAAACATATCCTTGTTCAATACAAAGATAACTAGTGAATTGGAAAGGAACGTTATATCGGAGTCAAGTTCAATGGACACCGGTCTTCTCGTCTAAACGTGAGATACTGGCAGGTGATCGCTTGTAGATTATTTTTCTCTCCTGAGGGGATAGATTCGCCTACGACTCTCCGTAATTAATGATGGCAGATTTACGACATTACCTCTATACGAGTCGTTTTTGTTCTTGATCATATATTATCAATATTGATGTGAACGTGTTGTGTCGTGCTATGTTGAGAACAACTGCACACGAACATTGATCGAAGAAATATTTCTACTTGATTTTGATACATGACTGTGGAGCATTGTTATCTTCATCACTGTCCTTCTCATCATCATCATCATCATTATCACCATCATCATCATCATTATCATCGTCATCACCATCACCATCATCATCCCATCATCGCCATCATCATCATCCTATCATCCCATCACTATCATCATCATAATCATCATAATCATCATCAATACCATCACCATTATCATTATCATCATCATAATCACCATCATCATCATCATCACCATCATCATCACCATTACGGTCATCATCATCATCACAATTGATATTTTTTTAAATCATTCCTGTCACTATCGTCGTTCTCTTTTCCTGGTCATCATCGCTACTGTCAAAACGCTTTTCAAATTAAATTAATCCGTGAAACACTAATTACTAAATAGTTCAAAATAGTGCTAATTAAACAATAGAAAACAATGGAATTTGCATGAAATTGTGCTATTTAGTATTACTAAAGTTTCATGGTTATATTGTTTGCACTCTATTCTTCTTCCTATGAGTAAAATAAAGGTCGTTGTTGTTGTTGTTGTTGTTGTCGTTGTTGCTGTTGTTGTTGCTGCTGTCGTTGTTGCTGCTGCTGTTGTTGTTGTTGTTGTTGTTGTCGCTGCTGTTGTTGTTGCTGCTGCTGTTGTTGTTGTTGTTGTTGTTGTTGTTGTGGCTAAAATACGGAGATGTGATTGGAGGAGGCATAATAAATCTAATTATAGACGGTCGTCTCTGGTCGTATCTCCGGCTGACAGAGAAAGGTTTATTTTTGATCTGTAAATATTCTAATTGAAAGTCGAAAATATATGCTCCGACGCACACCTGCTGTTAGTATTCATTATCATTTACAAAAATATAAACACGTTTGGTGTATTCTAAGTTACTATGGAATTAAAGATTAATGAGAACAGGTTGATTTGAATAGAGAAAGACCAAACTGTGATCGTGAATCATAATTTGAGGGCAAGATTGAACACAGGGAGAAAACTGGCTTAATGACATGCTAGACTACTGTCCAATGGCTGGTTGCTATGGTAATGCACTGCTGACCCTTTGAGAAAAGGATCCTGAAAAAAAGAAAACCAGCGGTCGGTTGCTTAGACTCTTCCACAGTCTATCGCTCGTCCGTTCCGTCTCCACGCTTAGAGACTGTAACGGTACAATGACCGAAAGGACTTATGGGTCCCGAAAACTTGGACCAAATACTAATCCACAAAATACTAGTCCACAGTCTCTCTCGTTTCAATATTTTTAAGATGGCGGCGAAAACGAGAGAGACTGTGGACTAGTATTTTGGTTCCCAAAGCACGCCAAGTCCCAGTTTTCGGGACCCATAAGTCCTTTCGGTCATTGTACCGTTACAGTCTCTAAGCGTGGAGACGGAACGGACGAGCGAGAGACTGTGGAAGAGTCTATCGGTTGCTGTGGTAGTCAACCGCTGACCCTTTGCGCGTGGCTCAAGTAGTAGATGTTATACTATTTTTTAATGTATTTATATCATATCACAAGCTATTAACATAAGCCTGTGTCTTTATTTCTTAAAATTGTCTTTGTTTTAAACTCCTTAACTGTCTTTGTTTTAACAGGTGTCGGAATTGATCTTCTTGGTTCCTATTTATGTTATCTTAAATACTGTAGAGTTACGATAAGCAAAGTCAAAGTGCCTGCATGATGATCAAAAACAACCCGAAATAATATATAGGTAAGAGGTATCTAAAGTTTTTTTCTTTCGCTGATCTTTAGTTCTAGCTGTCCATTCGTATCTCTTTCTTTTTACTTTCTTATTTTATTTGCTTGCTTAGCTTTCTTCATTCCTTCCTAATTATCCTAAGAAAAAAATCAATCTAGAAAATCTTATCTGGATTCCTCGGGATTCGAACTCTCGCGACACTCGATAGAAATCATATTTTAAAAAAAGGAAGAGAGAGAGAGAGAGAAAAGGAAAAAAGAAAAAGAAAAAGAAAGAAAGAAAAAAAAGAAAAAAAAAAGAAAAAAATCGATCCCACTTTGCCATACCCCCGAGACATCCGCAGAGCTGAGGCGTCGTATGGACTTCGGACCTGACGGCGATTAAATCCTTCTGCCCTTGGGTGTACGAATTACGCAAGAAAACGTTCTAGCCGAAGCATCAGGGGAGAGACCAGCCGGCCCCCAGACCATATCGGCTAATCCCTTGCATCTCTGCCACGCACGGAATCGGTTGGAAGTATAATGTTAAAAAGTCTAGTCTATTCGGTGCATTGTTTTCACTACTATTGTTATGCTGATTAAACTGGAACCGTGGTCCAGTGGATAAAACTTGGGTTTCTAAAGACTCTGCTGAGTCAAGTCCGATTGAGGAGGGTTTGTACATGGATGGGTGACCTAAACATTCTAACCTAACACTTATCCAAACTTTGGCTTTTATTATCAATATACAAATTCTAGGACTATTTTTTCCTTCTTTTTTTTCTGAGTTAAGATAATAAAGAAAAGTTTAAACTTTGTTTTTGACCGCAATTTACTAAACTGTAACAGATTCGTCTTCCCGAAATGCTTGATGCCCAGTCTTCCTATGCGGCAGTTTAGCCCCCCGTCTTTCATATGTTTTGGTCATGGGCAATTAATGTTATGCATTAGGCAGCATATCGATGCTATATTGCTAATCCCAACCAAATTTTTCATCAAAAGGAATAAAAGAAGGAAAAAAGAATGAGTTGAGGAAGGAAGGAAGGAAGGAAGGAAGGAAGGAAGGAAGGAAGGAAGGAGTGAAGGAAGGAAGGAAG